ACCTCGTCTCCATGAAAAAGAAACACAAACACACAATCCAGGAGGATGCTGTAGCACACATCTTTGAAACAGACTATTCATGGGACCAGCTTAGCTTAACAGGGATGTAAAACACGGGCATGCTGTCAAGCTTTTTGGATTTAAGGATAATTAAAATTTCCCAATATATGTACTCTAGAGTAGAGTAAATTCAAGCCAACTGTCAGTGGATGCTTTTCTTAGATACCTTTGGAAGGTCTTTGACTACAGTTACAGTTGTCAGCCATACACTCATCTGCTGCCCTGGCATTCAAAACATGTTTAGTGAGGACCTTCCTTTCCTGTAAATGAAGAAATGTCATGTATGTCTTCATTGAGTATATTCCTTTAGATTGACATACCTAGTGGGATCTTGTCATCTGCATTGCCAAGTGTCCCATATTAGGTTGTTATGACAATGAAAAGAGACATATCCCAGGTATTTGGTCTCAAGACCATCTTGTGTCTTGAAGGTTTTAATTGTTATTAATAACTTATACAATATTTTTTTCTATTTAGTCAGTAAGCCTCTATATAACCTATATAAAAAGTGAAGGAGAAACAGAAGGAAATGTCTGCAATGATGCAACAAGTGCAGTATCATTTAAGGCAGAGTGAATAATCTCTTTCTATCTCAGTTTCTGACAGGATTTGAAACAATTTTATTTCAGAGACTGACATATATTCCTTCCTCTGCATCATTCTGCAGCTTTTGAAAGATGTTAAATGCTACAGCTGATCACAGAGAAGGCTGTTGTCTGCGACTACCCTTTCTATTTTCTGTAATGTGGGGCATAAACCTCCTCAGACCACCAACCTCTACTTTCCTAAGAAATACTTACCAATTGAATAAAATTAATTTTCTGTATCTCAACTAGTAATATAAGTACAATGCTAGTAAAAAAGAAATCCAAGGAAATATTAAGACTGGAAACAAGGTAAATTTCATACAGAAAGAGATTATAGATGAATCCAAATCCCGGCTCATGACATTCTAGCCTGACTCCTCAACCAGTATCCAATGTAAGCCAGAACTGCTCTTTCAGTCAGCTAGAAAACATAAGGTATTATACTGTAAATATATATAAATAAGCACCTCATATATACTACATTAAATGATACATAATAAGTAAACACAGTTAAAATTTTATGTCCTTATTTCTAAGGTACATATTTCACAGACTGCCTTATTTCTTTTTGTAGAAAACAGACAACATGGGTCTTCACCTGTACCATGAAAATTAAATAACAATACAAAATTACTTTCACTTGTCCCCCCCCCTTTTTTTTTTTTCCTTGTAATGTCTTAAACTAATATTTTTTGCTTACTAAAAACTCTGAGGATTTTGCTGTTGGCATTCATTCCACTTTCTGAATTAATAAAACCTATTAATAAACCTGGCCTTCTAGACCCTGCAAGATACAATCTAAGAAGCACATGTACTTCACAAACTAAAGCAACTAAATTTTTAACGCTTGCCAGGCCTAAACATGAAAACATGCAAACAAGTGATGATATTTCATCCATTTAATGTAAAAATAAATTGCTTGGTAATTATGTAATATATTGTTTTTCCCTCTTTTTCTTATCTTCCCTCTAACTACAGCTTAAGCCATGCACATCAAAAATCAACTTCTGATTTTATTTGGTGAAGCATATTCTCAGGTGTTCACAACTACTAAGCTTTTAATTAAGCTTACTGGTATATAAATTTCTCTCTAGTAGAACCTAAAGGATATATTCAGAATTATTTTTCCAGCTTTATATAACAAGTTACTTACTAAATTTTTGTAGAAATTTACAGAAGACTACGGTTATTAGGAGAGGTTAATATGGTATAAGACTATACAGCAGGTCAGACACATTTTCAGAATAATTTCATTATAATTAGAATGGTCAAAGCCACTGGACAAAGTAGAACTATCCCCCAAGTAGAGAGGTTTGTGTAACTTTTACAATAGCTGGTTTTTGCCTGCGTTTTTCATTCATGCTCTCTTCCATACTGCCCACCTGCCCATCTTCATTTCTTTCTAACTTTGTGTGACCCTTCCCTGTTACGCTGCCTCAAGTGCTCTTCAGATTTTTCCTCTCTTTTGTGTTTTTGGGGTTTTTTTGTTTTTCTCTTTTTTAAAAAACTACTGGAGTACCTGTTATAGTTTATATGATATCCATCGATTTCTCCAAACTAAAACCAAAACAAAAATAAGACAAGGAAAGATTTTTATTTGGTCCTTTTTTGCTTTTTGTTTGTTTGTTTTGCTACCAACTTACACATCTATTTCTAAATCAAGTTCTTAGCCCTTTCATCTTTGCATCCAAGCTAACAGCCACAGAACTTTAGTCAGGTTCAATGTTACCGAATGTATCACTAAAATGAACCAGCTTTCACAAAACCCAGGATGTTCACACCCGCCTCATGCAGATTAGATAAACTTCTGGATTAGATAAACTTCAGAGTTCACTTCCAACTAAGAGTTTCCTATAATTTTATGATTAGGTTCACATACTTTTAAAAAGGCAAATCTGTTTTTCTGAACACTGGTTTAATTGTGCTTCCAAAGGAGTATGGAGTTCCACACCAAGAATATTTTGGGAAAGTTCATAGACATACTTTAGTCCCCTAGATACACTAAAAATTCAGTAGAATTTATCAATCTGAAAAAATGAAAAATTGTCTTACACAAGGGATGTATTTTAGGAAACCTTCACGTAAGTTATCCCTGAAACTGGAGCACTAATCTTACTTTGCCTCTTTGGCTTCAACAAATTTCTAAGCAACTGACATATGTGCATACAGCATAGAATACTTAACAAGAGTCCCATTAAAGTAAATAATTGTATTACTGAAATAGAAGTTCTTATAACAAAAGTTATAATAAATTTTGTATTCTGTTACAGTAATGGCTAAAATTTCAGAAATGATACGCAGTTCACTTTCCTATTTCTCATATTGCCTGGCCTTTGGCCTTGTTAAGAAGTGATATTCAAATTTCAATGTTACAGTAAAATGTAGCAGTTGAAAAGCCCTGTATTTTGCTTGCCCTGACAATCTGTCAGGACAGGATTAGTGTTAATTCCCATACTCATATAAGATCTTTTTTTTTTTTCTCTCTCTTTTACATAACTACGCCCAAGTAATCTTGATCCCTTGGCAGTACAAATCTTCATTCCCAGGAGTTCTTTCCTAATTAAAAACAATTCCATTTTGTTGAAGCCAATAAAATTTGTCTATAGATTTTTTTTTTTAGTGTTTAAGTACAGGAGTACCAAAAATAAAATGTACTTGAAAGAACACACACATAGTCAAAAATAACTGTATCAGGTAAAACAGTTTCCAGCAGAGAAAACACTAATTTTATTTCGGTAAAAACTGAGGGCAATCATACTCTATGAAAAAACTAATTTTGGAGAATGGTAGGCCTAATACTCACAGACGCTTCTTGGCATATTATCTTAATTTCACTTCATGCCCACTGTTAAGCAAATATCCCCACATCTATGCTGGAGATGCAGAAATTGTTGCTAGTGAAAACTGCAACCACATTAATGCTACACTATATGGCTTATCAAAGAGGACACATTAACCATATAAGGCTGGGTCTACCGATGTTTTTCATTTGCAGTGGCAAAGTGAGCAGATGATAGGTTTATCATAGATATTTATTTACAGTTACTACATGAAATTGTAAATAAATGCTTGAAAAATCCTCAAGGCTGTATCATTTTGCAGAGGGGTTATAGCATAGGAGCATTTAATTACATTTATGCAATTAATTTAATTACACAACCAATGATATTGCCAATGACCAAAAAAGTGACCTAAAGGCATGTTTCAGAGCAGGTTTTTAACTTACTTGTACGCCTGCACACAGCTCAATGTTTGCAGTGGTCATCCCTATTCATTGTTAAAAGAACATTCTTTTTTTTTTAAATATTAAGAAAAAAAATAGTTTTGGCAGTAGCTACAGCTTATCATGGAAATGATAAGATTCGCTTGCACAATATGTATGGAATAGTGCATCAAACCATAATGAAATACCAACATTAACAAAATTCAGGAATGTAATGCTGGTTCATTTAATCTTTATAAGGTTAGTATATGGGGGGTTGGGGGGGTGTGGAATTCTTCAAGAACTAATTTTGGTGTATTTCCAATGAGGATTCAGGATATTTGTGCATAAACACTTTCGCTTACTCATAAAAGGTGTGACTATACAAAAAGAAGAAAACAATACATCTGACAGAGATACAAAAATGCAGACCTCTAGCCATGCTGTTCTTGGCAAATTCAGGTCCATGGTGGCCTAAAACCTCATGCTATGATGGCTTTCTATTCAGGAGCACCAAGGGTGGTATCCTGTTTTAACAACAACCTTCCAAAGTCACCTGGGAGTCATTGAAATACAAATATGCTTTGCTACAGATTTTTTCTCCAGTTGCACCAATGGCTAAGAATCAATGCAAAGCAACTGCATTTTCTAGCAGCCTAATCTCATGCATCATCCAAAGGAAGTTAATTTATTCCTATCACTTTTCAAACAAAGAACTCAGTTTTATATGACAGCCTTTACTAATAGTTCCATAGCTGAAGTGCAACCTCTTGCTTCTATGAGCAGTAACAAGGACTTTTAAGTTTCCTTTTTTTCTATCGCACTTCATTTTCTTGAATATTCAACTGAAAACACTGAGGAGCAAGAAATGATTTTTTTTTGGTCTTAAATACAGCCATAAGCATTTTGAGAAGTATTAAAAAGTAAAAAAGAACAATAACTCATATTACAATAGCTGCATTTGGAAAATACAGTGGTATTTTACTGTAGGCACAATTTCAAAGCCTACAGCAAAGAAAACAACCTTGAATAAAATAAAGCTGGTTTCACTCAAGAATAATCAGTTTGTGATCACCGCACTCTTCTGTAAGCAAAATCTTATTTCCTTCTAGAAAGGAGTTGTTAAAAATATATAAATTATCATCACTCACCTCTCCTATCATTTCTGCCTGCATTTGTGGATTTGTCAGAAGGGCAAGGGCAACGTCCTTCGCATTTCACTGAGATTTGTTTTCCCGAGATACAGGCTTGATAGTCTAATTTGCACTGTAAGGAGAGAGAATTACTATCATTAATACAAACACCTTTTACAAAAAAAGTTATAGCTCTAAGTATTTTGAAGCAATCTCCCATTAAGTGTTTATATCTTTGTAGGTACAGGTGCTAGGAAAAATTTTCTGAAGTATATGCTACCTTTGTACTAAGAATTAGATTACATAAAGGTACAAAGTTTTTGTTCCCTAACCTGGCTACAGTTTCAGGCTCAATTCAAGCATGAATGCACTTGTGGTGTTAGACTGATTTGAATACGTATACTAAATGGTAGTAGACTGCATGGTTTTATTTGCATTATATGAGCAAATAAACAAGGCAACAGTATTCATAGGAATAGGAAGCGATTAACAGTGAATTATGATAGAATTTATCACTTAATTTCTACCTGTAAAATGACAGTACCCTAGTAAAAAGCAGTAACAAATAACATGGAAAGGTGTGCCTAATGCAATCCTGCACAGGGATAGCCTTTTCTGATATAAAATCAGATTAATTTGTTTGGTTCAAGTATCAGGAAAAATACAAACCAAAACAAAGTGGAAAAAAAAAAAGTTAAGTATCTACAGAGAGCAAGGACAGGAAAGGAGGAAGGTGGTTATAGAGAACACTTAATCCTCGAATACAAGATGGAAGATGTCTCATTAGTCAGATAAGGGACGTATAACTTAAAAGTGTACGAGTCAGAAAACCAGTTCAAGTAACAAATAAAAAGATTAAGTCTTTTCTATGCATCACAACACTTTAGAAGAACAATCTCACCAAAATTTGTCCTTAATATTCCCTGACTCATCTTCTGTTTGGGAATCTAACTTCAGTTTAACACAATTCCATTGCACAATTATCAGAATTTCTGGCAAACCCTGAAATTGGAGTTTCTCTCTCTCTCCTAAAAATGAGTAAGGGGTGCGAGAACTATAGCTATGTAAGACTAAAGGAGCCTCCTAAAAGACAGCACTTGACGTTTCCACTAACATGCAGATATAAGCACTATGAATTTAGAGAACTTTATTAACCTTTCATGCAGTCAGCATTCTGACCCTGTCACACTGTCATGCAGTTCTCTACCTAGCACAAGCTGAACTGCATCACTATTGAAATAATACCTTTTTGCACCACTGCCAGTACCAAAGAGAAGACACATTAAAAGAGTGAGAAAAAAATACCTCACATTTTGTGTATTTACATAAAATCATCATTACAGTTCAGTTCTGAATGTGCTCCTTTTTGCCAAAAAGGCATAGTTAAAGGACACTGAAGCTAGAGAAATCCTTTAATTCTAACAAAAAAAGAACAACAGGTCTGCTCCAATTGAAATCCTTTAATTCTAACAAAAAAAGAACAACAGGTCTGCTCCAATTGAAAGCTATACAAATAGCACTAGTGTCTCAAAGGCCCAGAAAACTGAAGCAAAGCAAACAGCTCTGCCAGTTTTGACTATGAAACAACTGACTACCTATTGCATTCATGCACAATTATCCTGGCTGTACAGGAAAGTGCTTGCACGTCATGCCCACCAGACCTCTTCACAGATAGCGCATGACCTAATTAATATTTTAATAATCTTCAGAGTTCGTAGAATGGATCGTAGCCTGAATTTAATACATGCTTCTGTCGAAAAGAGATATCTTCCCTTTTGTAAGATCTGAGAATTTTTATTGTTCAATTGTAGTAGCTTAAGGAGTCAAAGCTACAAATACCTGTGCTTTAGGCTTTGATTACTCCTGTTGGTGACTGAACTTAATGAGACTACCATTTAAAACTGGACATATAAGCCCATTTCAGGTTTGTTTTACTGAGAATCAGAATACAAAGTTTGCAAAACAAAGGAATAATTTTTTTTTGAAGATTTCTTTAATCCTTTACTCAAGAGGTTATTTTTACAGCCTCCAGTGCTTCTATTTTGTTTCACTCAGATGTTGCTGAAAATATTAGTAAATACTTCAAAGCTGTCTCTTCAGTCCTATTTGCAAACAACATTGTCCTTCTAAATGTTAAGAAAAACTTAATGTCCAACACCTTCCACAGACACTGATACCTGAGTTAGTGAACGCAAGGTCAGCACATTATCACTTTCAAATCAGTATCCCATAAACAGATAGGCTAGAATTTTACACTCACTGAACTCATTTCACAGGCAGGCAGGCAGCAAAGATGGATTCCTTGTCTCCAGAAACAAAGTAAAATCATGGTGCTTGCATAAGTCGGAAATGAAACAATAGGCTGTTCTGACAATTTTGTATCAGCAGCTAACGACACCAGGAATATAACTCTAGTTCACACCTCTCATCCTTGTTCCCCAAATAAACAGTGGACCGGGACACTGCAAAGGCAGCTGAGCTAAATAAAGGTAGGTCAGACTTCCCTGAATGTTACTCTCAAACTGGTAGAAAAACTCCATAGAAAAAGAAATCTGTGGCATACAGAATATGAGGACACAATGAGAAGTGGTGGTATAAAGGAAAGGTAGTGTTAGGAACAGTGATGAAATAATTTGTTTTGTGGGGAAAATATCTGAATAAGTTAAACAGCAGAAAAATACATGAACTACAATGTTATGTATAGAAATAAAATAATTCCAGTCTCTTTGGCTTTATTAGTTACTTCTCTACATGGGGAAAATATGTCATAAAATTTTCAAGAAAATAATCTGTTGAATTTCACAATATTCCTTATTTATATTGGTTTCATAAACTGTTAACTGCTTTTGCTACTTTCATCACAATCCCTTCTATACATGAAAAAATACCAATTTTACTCCTGAATATATCTAGATTTTTATCTTCAGATCTTGATTCCACTTTCCTCTTAGTATATCAGTTTTCGATGCTGAAGTTTCACCATATCTCATTTGTATGTTTGATTCTAAAAATGCTTCAATTCTGATGCTTGAATTTTCACACATTTTGTTTCAAGACAGAAGAATAGGTATTTCTGACTTCAGAGAAATACGCTGCACAGTGTTTAAAAAAAACCCCAAAACATCAATATAGACAAAGAACATGTACCATGTCAGGGTCTCTTGGCAATATATTTCTGGATTAAAAATTCCTCATTTCTGTACACTGTCAAGTGTTGCATAGAAAAATGCAATTTGTTTACTCATATTCCACCTGTTTGAAAATCATCAGTCTTAAATGGACCCAACATTCTTCAACATTTGCCCAAAGCAGTTGTTTAGTGAACTAGAGACAAGCAATTAAAATCTGTGGGAAGAACATCAAAGAATGTATGTCATCTTTAGACATGACTCATGCAGCTTTACTGTTATTACAGTAAAGAGGAGAATAGTTATATTTCTGGAACAACTACTACAGCGTATGTTATTTTGATATACACGAGCTCTGCTTCTAGAACTACAGTCACAGAGTTGGAAAGATTAAATGACAGTAACTTTTTCCATTAAGTTCTGCCACCTTCCATTCCAAAGTAGCTACCTGTCAAATGCTGCCAAACAGATCTCTCTATATTGTACATATAAAGAACCCAGTTTTGCCCCTAAATTGAAAAAATCCACCTACTTTTCCATGGTAAAATAATGAAAAAAATGAAAATACAAGGAAAAAAAATATTATTTTTGTGTGCATTTGATTGGCATGAATACAACGACAGGATACATTTTATTTATTACATTAAGTTCCAAACAATCCCAACTTTCCCTGTTATTTGTAAACCAAGTTCCAGGTAAATAACATATATTTCCATATATACATGTTTACCTTCAGAAAACCCCCAATCACCCTCCTGTGACCAACTGACCTAATTTTTCAAGTGTGTATGACAGTATGGATCTCATTAATATATGAGGAGGACACTGATAAAACCTGTGACTTAGGAAAACTTTTTAAGGACTTCAAATACACAGGAAACCTCTACAGAAAGGAGTAAAATCTCAGCACAAGTGTCACATGTACAGGGGGAAAATCTCTATGTTGAGCGAAAAAGAAGATTCAGAGAATATTCATACAGTCTAGAAGTTTTCAAATTAGTTTAAGTTTATATTTACATTATTGAACACTTGAACTGGCTGAGCAAACTTACAGCCATTGAGAAATTGTGAAGGACAGAAAATACACTATTAGACTGGAAATGAATAAAAGATGAAGCAAATAAATAAGGAAAGAAAAGATTATCTCAGAAATTATAGAAAAAAAGCTTTTAAATCTGATTTCTGGGCACCTAGAAGAAGAAAGACCATGCTACAGGCAAACCATAATAGAAATATTTTTATTCTATGGAAGAACTTCTAAAAACCAGATACATTAGATTGCAAGTACCTTTATTTTACCAAGGCTTGTCACACTCTTTTACATTGCAACCTGGTAAGCCATATGGGGAATTATACTATTTGTGTGCTCATATTGTAAGATAAGTACAAAATTAGTTGAAAGTGAACCTCACAGAGTAGCAATCAACAGCTCACCATTAAAATGAAAGGCTTCACTGAGTAGACTTCTGCAAGTGTAAGTCACAACCCTAGAACTATTCTGTCTTTGCATTAATGGCTTAGAAGATGAAATAAAAGATACCCTACTAAACATGGAAGAGGTTGGAATAACTTTAGAAGACAGGAATATAATAAAAACTGTTATTATTGAAATAGGCTAAAAATATAATGTAATTCAATATAGAAAAATGCTATGTTCTATTCTTACATAGACATAATAATCACGTTTAGAATACAAGCTACGGAATAAGTGACTAGACTTCTGGTGATCATTATGAACGATCAAATGGTGTTTAAAAACAGGACTGCAACCTACAAAACATGTAAAATCATTCCACACAGTTCTGGCAGCACTTAAAATAGAGTACACTGTCCTGCTTTTTGACAAGGTTTCAAGCAAGACAGGAATTAATTGGAAAAAGTCCAAAGAAACAGTAACAGGAATTATCAGAGGCCTAGAAAGTAGTCATCAAGAAAGAGGCTCAAGGACTGGGGATGTTCAGTTGTTTAGTATTGAAAAAAGGGAATTCACATAACAGTTGTCAAA